CAGATCTTTATTTTTTCTTTACCGTTAAATTTTCGATATTATTTGGTGTACATTTTGGACCAGCAGATAGGTTAATTGTTGATGAACTTCACGAAAAGTCAGCGCCTGAGAAAGACGAAAACAGAAAAAGTCAACATTTACGAAGGACGACGGGGAAGAGCCGATGGGTGGGGGATGAAGGATGACGGGTGGGAGAAGAGGAGAGGTGTATGCATTTTTTTGAATGACTCTATCCACAAATATTTCTCCTTCTTCTTCACCTTCACACGCTTTTTCAATTCTGCTCTTCTGATGTAATGCCGCATGAAGATGACGTTTCTCTTTTACTTTTACTTTTACTAAAGGAAGGAAAGAAGGAAGAAAGGAGAGGGTAGGGGTGGAGAAGAGGAAGAGGAGAAAAATTTGAGTGAAAAGATAGGCAATAAAGTGTGATCGAATTATTGATAGCAATTGAACATAAAAATTTGGCAAATAAAGAATGTCTTCAATTAATAAACGGTAAAAAGTGGCCTTATATAATTTGTCGTTGCTGTTTTAGTCTTTTTCTATTGCTGCTGTCAATGGCCAATATTTTTAAATAGGTTTTTTTACTCTAATTTTTTTTTCTTTATTTCTTAAATAAAGGCTATCTATAAATGTTGTTTTTAGTGTAAACATAATCTTTAATCTAAGTTTTAATCAAAAAAAAAAAAAAAAAAACAAACTACCAACAGAGTTGTCTGTTTATTTTTACTTTTTTCATTTTTTTTTTTGTTTGTTTTTTCATTTTTTCTGAACTGATTACAACTGAATAGAATGTCAATAAATTAGTATTTGCACACAAAAACGAAAAGCCTCAAAAAAAAAAAACTACCTAAACAGCAATTTAAGTTTGTTCTAATAAGTGAACAAATATGATACATTAAAAGTAGCAAAAGAATTATTGAAAAAAAAAGAAAGCAAAATGTTTCCTTTTCTCTACTTTTTCCATAAAAAAAAAAAAAAAAACAGACAATTTTTTTTTTTGCTTGCAGAAAGGACAAAACAAAAAGATTTGCTAATTTTTTCTATAAACTTTTTTTTTTTATTTCTTTTCTCATATCTTATTTGATTAGTTGTTTTAAAATTTTCTTCTCTCTTTTCTTTTTCTTTTCTTGTTCTTCTTCTTCTTTTTTTTTCTTTTTTTATACTTAAAATTATAAAAACCCAGATTAAGGGGGGGTTAAACACGGTCATAAAGATTGCTGTTGTTGTTCTTGTTGTTGTTTTTGGGTACAACTGCAGCAGCAACAACAGCAGCTGCAGTTGCTGCTGTTGTTGACGATGGTGGGTAGTGGGTATTAAAAATTGGTGATGTGTATATACTCAGTGTTTTCTGCTGTTATCCCCTCGCCCTTCTCTTAGTCCCCCATCAGTAGCAGCAGCAGGAGGAGCAGCAGCAGCAGCAGCAGTAGCAGTAAACTCCTCAACAACATTTTCTAATCAGTTCAAAAAGAAAAAAAAAAATTAAGGAAAACGAACTGCAAATTTATGCAACCAAAAAATGCTGCTGCTACTTCATATTTGTTATTGAAGTATTGAAGACGAAAAAGAAAAAAGTGGCAGATAAAGCAAAAAATTTAAAATAAAAAAAAAAAAAAACATTAAGTAAACTCATTTTATACTAAACAATTATTTTAACCTACTTTTTTTTTTCCCCATCTTCTTACTCTATTTTCTCTCCTCTTGTTTCACATTCTACTTTTTCTTAGCACCTTACTATTTCAAATTACCTAAATCTCAATAGCTGTTTCAGAAGTATTGTTTTTTTTTTTGTTGTTGTTAATCTGAACAATGGCACTGT